GAAGTCGGTGCCGAGACGCGGAATAAGATCCTTTCAGGAATTTTGCCTTGCGAAACGAAGTAAACTGCATTTGGGATAATTTTTGGGACGGCAGTGTGCTCCCTCTGCATCCCTAGCCGAGAAGGGGTTTCCTCACAAAGATCAATATCTGTCAGGATGAGAGCCAGGAACGTAACCATAGTAACCAGCTGCTGCGAGACTGTGTGACGCCCACGCCCGGGGTAGGTCACGCCCCCTGTCCAACTACCCCCTAACAGTTCCTTCCAGCTTTGGAAATGTGTTTAATCACTTTTCGAGTTACCGTTCAAAATTAATTACCAACACTCCACAATTCTTTTTGTACCTGCTCAGTGCCCACGCAAGGACCTCTTCTAATTGTTAAAAATTTCTTGAACCTATTCGCTTTATTTTTTATTCGTATTGTTTTCGTTTGTTTGTTTATACATTTGCAATTTCGTATCTATTCTCCGGTTTTTGTGGGATATAGTCGATGTCCACAAAGTGGTAGAAAAGGAAAATCCATTCACGTAATATTTCAATAGTTGCCAGGATTGGTACCTGTGGTACCATTTAAAGCCATATACAGTAGGTCAATTGGGACTGATGTATTGTTTATGATAATAGTGGCTGCTGGGTTTATATATTCAATAGTTTTGGTAATAACTTGTATGATGATGTTGATTTGAGTTCGAAACGTCTTATGACATCACTTGTCCTTTGTTTATATCACTTATTGATGAAGAATCAGGAATTGACTTGGTTTTCAACCCATGTATTTAAGTATTTGGATATTTGGAAGATCAAGTTTTTCTTCAAGACGATTACATTTTTGCAAGACTTACTTTGACAGACTAAGAGTTTTACTTTCCAATTACGAGTGCTAATGCTAATTTTATAATAAGCTAAGGAAATTTCTGAAAGAAAATCGATGTTAACTCATCGTCAATCTAGATTAATATTCATGATGTGTTACTCAAAGTTTGTTTGATGTTTAAAATACAAAAACATGCAGTTTGAACAAAAGAAAATCGGTTCGGGAAGCTGAAAATTTAGAGTTGAGTAACTTGATTTCTGTTGTATTAACTTTTTTAACTTTTTAATAAGAGTGATAAGACCTATTATTCTTGTGAAAAAAAACTAAAACCATATGAATTGTACACTTATGCTAATAGTATGATTTAAATTAGAATCATGAGGATTTGTCCATTTACTGAGGGCTGAGTTAAGTTTTTATTAACCTAATGCTAAAATCTAATAATCTAATCTAATATAAAATCATCATCACTATTCCGTTATTAATATGTATATCCAAATTGAAAAACAATTAATTCATACAGACAAATGTTTATTGGCAAAGCGAAACCGAAACTGCAAAACTCAATTTGTGTCAACGACAAAATATCTGACAAAATTCGCATTGTAAACGGTAGAAAACCAATTAACTTCAACTTCTAGTTCCAGCTACCTGATCAGTTGGATTTTCGTTTTAAATTCAGGCAAATTGAAATAATAATAACACAATTTGTCTACAATAATGAATTAATAATAAAGAAAACTTTTGGTAAAATATTTATAAATTAATTCATGCCCATTTTTGTACGACTAATTATTTATTTGCAATTTTCGCAAATGTTCTAATTTTTGGAATAAATAAAGTCAATAATTGTAAGGATTACTTTTTCATTAAACTTAATAGATGTTCAGGAATTTTATAAAATTTTTATAAAAAATCCTATAGAAGTAAAATTAAAAAGATAAAAGGAAAAATTAATGAATTTTGAAATAAATAAGGTTAATCTAAAAACGTAATCTGAAGTCCGTAAAGCATAAAACCGGAATAAGAAATGAAAACTGAGTAAATTCTTCCATCTAAAGAACGTTTATTACGGCTACTATTCCGCCATAAGAAGTCCGTAAAATCAGCTGTATAGGTTTCATTTAAGACATCGAACAGCCTCCGATGGCTCCACTGCTCCAAATACAGACAAATAGGGAACGGACTTATAGTGATTTTCCACAAGAAAAGAAAATTTAAATCTTAAAGAATTAAAAACATCTAAACTGCTTTTAATATTTGGTACTTTAAACTGTATAACGTTTAGGCCTATATGCCTACTGTTTAAATCCCGATAAAAGTACGTATTATTACAATCTAGGAAAATCAAAGTAGATAATTGCTCATTATGAAAAAAATTGAACCCAATTCAAGTTTTATTTATTAACTGGGAACATTTAATACTGACTCAATTGTTTGATTAAATATTAGGCATTCTATTGATTAACATTTCAACTTCCAATATTGAAGGGATCCTTATGATATATATATGTCCCCATATATAACCTGAATATTACAATTAAAAGTTTAATAACCTAATAATGGTGATGGTCAACAGAATGAGTACTTTTTACTTTATGTCAACCAATATTTGTATATTTTTTTTGCATACAATTCCGCAATGTGATCATTATCCCGTTAGGACCGGAGGGTGAAGCATCGATCTCGAAAGCGTAACCCTGGTAACCGTGGGCGTATCAGCCCAAAAGATGTAAGATTACACAACTCTAACTTATCGTCTGGTGGTTGTTTTTTGTCTCAGATGACCATGATATACATCTATTAATGACCACAGTTAGAAGAATTCAGAAAACCGCAGCAATTAATAATACCAAAGCGTACGGTGTTATTTCCAAATTATTCTAATCGATTATGAGAATTAAATTAGAAAAAACTGGACCGTGCATTAGTTTTTACAGTTGGATTTTATGTTTTAAGAAAACAATCATTAAAGAAAAGCAATCTCAGTTGGTGTTAAACTAGGAAACTGAAATTGGTAATTGTAGGGTGAAGTTGTCAAATGTTTGGAACAATGAGTATTTAATATATATCTATATTTAAAAAAAAATTAAACAATTTTACTATTTCCAAAGTTGATAATATTTATGAGAATGTAATGTTTTTCTGGTGTTTTGTCCTTTCATTAGATATAAAGAATAACTAAATCGAGGGATGAAACAGAAAACAGTTAGTCTCTGTGCTTAAAATTGACTCAGCATTTCAAAATTACCAAAAACTTAAAGCATGTAATTTTAGGTCTTAATGAGAGCTTATTACGTCTGAAATAAAAGAACAAAATAAGAAAAACAAGTGTTAATTATTTTCATGCATATTTATCAAATTGAAATTGAAATTGAAATTTTGCGATAATAGATATTTCGGATGTGACCACTGTCTTCGTCTTTTGTCCTTTTATTTCACGTAGTATTGCTTTCAAAGAGGACATAAATTGTTTTCCTTTTAGGATTTGAAGTTTAATTTCCAAACATTGATTTGATGAAGGCATGAAGGCCAGATGCTCATTTAGCGCGACAAACTACCTTGCAACTGTAATTTTTATGTCTTAGTATCCTGATCTAGGTTAACCAGCGCAGCGTAAGTTTAAAGGACATTGAAAAAAGCACAAACTAATTTTGATTAAGAATAGATAACTATCGTATAAATGAGTAAGGCTGTTTCATAAAAGTCATTTAACAAATTATTTTTTCTTATCAAGAAGAAATTGACTAAGAAACATTGAACAAAGTTTTTAATAAATGACCAAATAACAGTAATAATAAAAGTATATGTTAGTTCAATTGATTTAGAAGTGGTGGTATTCTACAGGGCGCCGTTTAAGTTTGAAAGTTTTACGAGAGTCATTTAATTTTATTAGATTCTTAACTTCCGTTTTACAGTAGGTGTTTGATTACATAACACGGGGTCATAAAAAGGAAGTATCTAGAGGAAAAGGGGATTTACTGCTGTTAAATTATTGTTTTAATAGGCAAAATATACAAACTAGTTAGTTGTATGTTTTACATTTTATTCAATCACATATCACAAAAAAAATCGTATTTAAAGAAAAATAACATTGTATTTACAAAATACTTAGTAGCTAATATGCTAGTTCATTTAGCGTTACCCGGGGTGCACCACGAGGAGGCGAACTAGCTTTACACCCCAAAAATTAAAAAGACTAATTATAAAAAGGGAACAAAACTGGACCTTGTGGTTTAAACTAAATTACTATCTAATAAGGCCGAGCGTCCTCTAGTCTAGCGGTTTCTATTATGAGTTTGAGTTCTGTATTTAGATTAGGCAAATGCTAATATATAAATACCTATTTCATAGAAATTTTTCACTTTTCTTTTTTCTTTATTTCGCCCGTATCATTTGTTTCTGACAATATAAATTTTTTTGTTTGTATCTTAATAGCCATTAATTCGATATTGTANAGGCCGAGCGTCCTCTAGTCTAGCGGTTTCTATTATGAGTTTGAGTTCTGTATTTAGATTAGGCAAATGCTAATATATAAATACCTATTTCATAGAAATTTTTCACTTTTCTTTTTTCTTTATTTCGCCCGTATCATTTGTTTCTGACAATATAAATTTTTTTGTTTGTATCTTAATAGCCATTAATTCGATATTGTAGGCAGGCACTTTAATTTCTTTTATACGTATATAGGATGAATAGATTAATAAAAATCCTATTATACTATTATTTAATGGAAATATTCTATAATAATAACTGTTAACAGTAATCAAATAATACGATATTACATTCCGGGCACGGGAACATTCAATCCGTCTATTTGTATTTAATTAAATGCTTGTGTATATTGCATTACCAGAGTAAATCTACACGTACAAAATTATGTTGATATACACATATATTATATTAGTTTTATTGAATTTGACATGTTCGATCATTGATACTTACTATGGTAGGTCCTTGTTGCATCACAAGTACAAATTCATCACTAGGGGCGACAAAAATATCTTATTCAAATCGCCCTATACGAGAACTTCACAAATATGATAAAAAGCTGATTATTTAATAAATGGAGTTAGTAATTCGAAAAGGGAAACAAAAACAGCGTTTAAAATAAAAACTAAAAAGTTTATTAAAAATTAAAATTAATCTAAAAATCGATTAAAAACACAAAAATAACAGCATAAAATAATTCATCACAAAAATCTGTGATCAACTTATTGCGACAGTTGACACAGCATAGCGACACCACGTAGAATCCAATGCTGAGGTGGTTCTTCCGTCGGCAATCTTATGGGAATTACGAAATTAGTTGAGTGACCGGTAGTGGACAGGACCCCTCGTCTTTCTGCGGTTTTGTAAACAGGACAATCGTAGGTCTTTTTAGGCACCAAATCAGATCGCTTAATTGGCAGCATCAAAATCTATAAAACATTCATCGATTTTTGGACAAAACAGAAGAAAATATAAAGTATCATGAATTATTGGACTAAATGTTCATGTTGTAAAAGTTACTATAAGTACGAGGTTTGTTCAAAAAGTATCGCGATATTTCGATTTTCGACTATTTTGTGGCATTATGTTGGCTCTCATGTCTCTCATTTATACCGACAAGTTCGGCGATGTTGAATGTCCAGTTACTTTTTGACAGCTACTTTGCTTGCACGTGTTTTGGCTCGTCCTAGATTTTTAGCTATTCTAAAAATTTTAGAAGATGTGAACTACGAAGAGGGTGTCGGACGCCTGAGCACGTCAACGACAGACGAAAACATTGATGAAGTAAAGAAAATAGTGTTGGCTAATCGTCGAATCACCGTTAGAAAAGTTGCCGAGGACTTATGATTTGAGCATGAGACTGGTCGCCGCGAAATTTGTACCAAAATTGCTCAATTTCGAATAAAAACATCATCGCATTAACATTGCTAAGGAGCTGTTGAACTCCAGAGGGTCATAACTGGTGATGAATTATGGGTTTATGGTTTTGAAGTGAAAGCCAAAGCTGAATCATCCCATCAATAGAAGCTGCAGCACGAGCTAAGTCCAAAAAAAGCGCGCAGGAGTGTGGTGCATCATGAGTTCTTGCAACAGGGTAGAACGGTTAATAAGGAATATTACCTGCAAGTTATGCGCAATTTCTGCGAAGCAATTCGCCAGAAACGCCCAGATTTGTGGATGAACAAAAATTAGCTTGTCCACCATAATGCCCCTGCTCGCACATCGTTGTTTGTGTCCCATTTTTGGGCCAAAGACAACACACCAATAATGCCGCAGCAACCGTATTCCCCACATCTGCCCCCTGTGTCTCTTTCTTGTTCCCGATACTGAACAGGCCCATGAAAGGACGACGCTACGCTACGATTGAGGAGATAAAGACGGTATCGAGGGAGCAATTGAACAAGATCACAAGAAATGATTTTTTGAAGTTCTACGGGGTTTGCAAAAAAAAACCTTGGCATAAGTCTATAATATCTGGTGGAGGATCACTTTAAAAGGGACAAAGTAGATATTTATAGATATATATACATAATAATTTTTGAAAAACGCGTTACTTTCTGAACACACCTTGTATTCAAAGGTTTGCTATAGTTAATTCTAGTAGTAAATGATACTGACAATGAATTTTATTTGTTATCTTATGACAAAACAAGGCAAAATAATGTCGTTTTTTTTTGATTGAAAGATATCTACCCCTTCATTAGTTATAAGAACTAACGTACTATTGGAACAGGGGCGAATAACACTTTCGGAAGAGACTCGTCAACAATCATCTTTTGCATATTCCACCTTGCACCTTCCAAAAACAAACCGTAAACATAGACTCCATCTGCTGGAGGCTTGGGAAATGTCTTCTCTTTTTTAGCCTGAAACATCAATTCTAGTACCTATGTGACAAAGAACACTCAATGGCATATACAAACCTCGTATTCAAAAGCCAACAAATCAATAGCAATAGTATATTTTCTAGCAAAATTTTGTTGAGCACCCGTAAGGAAAGCCTGGGTGAAGAAAAATCCTGCAATCCAAAATGTGGGAGGTGGGCCTTCATTGAACCATTTCTGGCAATAAATAATCTCACTTTTACAAAAGAACAATAAGTAATGGTTATTGGAGAGTACCTGAAGAAATTCAAGTCTTGCAAGAAAATCGTTGACATAACTTCCAAGGGGTTTTAGCGAAGGATAAGAGTTGCGCGCCCACATTCCCGGTATTCTTCCTGTCAACATGCTAACCACGACTTCTTCCAGATCATTAGACATAACAATTAGGCCTAATAAAAGTGGTCAGCATCAATGCTTATTTAATAAATTAACAGTTTAAATAGGTACCCCTAATTGCCTTCTGGACATTTTTCAGGCTTTCTCTGATGGTTGTCAACAGTTTATTGAAACGGTGCATTTCTTGAACAAGCACAGTGTTCATACTTTGTGTGTAAGAAGTTGGATATTTGCGCATTGCTTCGTCAATGTCGTAATTTTTGGGCAATTTTGATAAAATATCTGAGGCTATGTCAAAGATAACGTCTTCTGGTGATTTTTCTGAGCTTTCACTTGAAGTAGCATCCTAGAACAGTTTATTCTAATATATTTACAAATATATACAATCAATCTTATATTACGTCCAACTTATTCATTATTTCGTCATAAGATATTAATTTTATTTGGATAAATTTACTCTAACCGTAAAAATTTATCAAAGAAGGAAGTGATTTTCTGTATTCGTTTTCACAAAAGTATGTGAAATATGTTTCTTTTCTTCAATTTTATAACATTAATTGTAAATATAATTCTTATTATTAGTTCTGGACAACACTTACCATAAAAAGACGAATATCCTTGTGTATTAAAAAATAAGAGAAAGAATATGTTATATTTTTTGCCTATTTTTGAAAATACTTACATATACTTACAAGTTGTTCCTAAGATGAGTAAAAATAGGAACAGACATACACATACACATCAAAAGCAATATACTTTTTAATCCTTTTATGAACATATTATCTAATAAACAGTACCTGGGTCAACAAAATACTTGTGAAAAGTAAATTAGTTTCATTCTGGTCTTTTGTAATATCTGCGTTTGCATGCATTCCAAACACTTCGGGGTGGGTAAGCAATGGTAGAGATTTCGTATAATTCATAAATTCTTCGTATTCCTCTGCATCAGGGCAATAATATTGTCCTATAAGGAACACATAAAAATAGCAAAGCTTTAATTTATGTTCCTTTTAAACGGTAATGTTTACAATGCCTGTGCTTGGTAGATACAAACTATATGAAAGAAAAGATACTTAACACCGACGTTTCGTAATTGGCTATATGATTCCTCATGTTGTTAAATAATCGAAGCAGTTAGTTGCAAGTTTATAATATAAACCACAAAATAATAATTTAAATTGCTTTGTAGAATAAATGTGAAAAGTATTTTAAAATGTTAACATATGCAGACAGTAGATACATACAAAAAAGTATTTTTTATTAACGATTTTACATTTTTAATTTTACCTGTTGGATCGAATGCGTAGTGACGTACTTCAACGATTTCTTTACAATAGAACCTTCGCAAAATTGTATTTAAAGTCCTTCTGTCCCAGTCATCTGTGACCCTACCTCCATAGTTACATTCACCTGTCAGATACCTTAAGGCAACAAACTGAACATCCTGTATAATAAAAGGGCGTAATAATATGTTTTTATTACATAAAATCTACATACGGAATATTGATTAAGAAACATTTGGAGCTGCAACACACTAATTCTCAAGTCAGTTTCGTTAAACTCATATGGAATATTCCAGCCTAGTGGTCCAAATTTCCGTCTCTCTTGAATTAAAGCGTGAAAGAAACATAATCCATATAATAATCTTTTAAACGCTGATGGTTGTTTGCAATTATCAAACCACTCTGGGTCACATATTGGATCACTTAGATACGATCTGGTAATGTTAGCCTTTAAACCTTTCGGCGGTTCGTTTGTCATTTTTACCCCGTTTTGCAATACCGAAACGGGAAAATGTTCAGCCGGATATGAGGTTAACCACAATCTGAAATCAGGATGAGTATTGTCCAGGGTCAGACCTTCACAAATCTAGAACAAAGAGAAAATTCTTTTCTTTCCATTGTTAGATAAGATAGCGAAGTAATTACTCTTTCTAAAGTCGGCATAAAACTTTTCGCTAGATGGCAATTCTGAAGTACAATCCAATTTCCGTTTTTCACGCCTTCGTCGATAAGTTTCACTGCTATGGGGCCTTGGCCTTGTCCTAAAGACAATGAGAACAGTCTGGCACCAAAGCCTTGATCTTCGGCAAATTTTAAAAGAATAGCTGTTGGATCAGCACCAGGTGTTAAGACAAAAATTAAAGGAATACAGCAATGTGAATCGGAATATGACGATGCCAAGTCGAAGGGAGGCGGCTCGACAAATTGTCTACCAAGTTTTTCTATAGGAAATGTACTTCGTCAGTGAATTTTCTGCAGGTACTTACTGTTGTTGCTGAAAGTGAGTATTCCGTACCTTGCACAAAATCTTGTACTGCTGGAACAATTTTATCTGGTCGAATGCAGCGTAGGACTAACATTTTTTGAAATTGATTTAGTGACTTGTGATAGGGATCCGGTAAAACGAAATGTTGAGGTTCAGGATCATCGAACATTTTTCTCCAATGCTCTGAATTGTTTTCGAAATGTTTGCGTATACCCCTAGAGATTTTTAAATTTCAATTTAAATGGTATAAAAATTGGTTTAAGGAGGAACTGAAACTGAACAGAAATGGTGGCTTGAAATGACTGCACCTCTAGCAATTTATAAACGCATTTTCATGTATTCTACTTGTTAATTTGTCAAAACTTCTTCTTATGACAAAATAGAATTCTCCTGCAGTGATAATGATTTAATTATTTGGTGACGTATACGCATATAAAAATTTACTAACAATAAAATATGTTATACCTAAATGCACTAAGTTCATCGAGACGACACAATTCGTCCCATTGTTTGGACACTAGCCATATCGATGGGTTTTTATGAGGATTATCCAGACCAACACCTCCTGTTAGTAAAAACATCCACTGTCCTTGGTCTATCAGATTTTTGCTTTTAAGCAAATTAATACAGAGTATCAGAGAAAATAGCAGCTTATCCTACAAATAGAGTCAAAATATCATCAGGTGCTTTTGGTTCCTTGAAGCTTTATGATTATTGTTTACACAGGAATGTTTTGGTGTCTTTAGGATATTATAGTGTCCTTTAGGACATCTGGAGTTTGTCATAGTTTTAACCCTTTGTGTTTGCTATTACTATTAACATTTTTACTGGCATAATCATATTTTATGAGGCCTGTAATGAGCCTGCAACTGTAGTAATAGACTCATTTTTTATAGCTAATTATTATCAATAAACTGATGCACGGTTAAGTGATTATCGATGATCTAACCATTCAGTATTGTTATGTAGCTTATAAAATAGAAATTAGATTAGAAAAAGAACAGAAATTAAAGAATAGTTCAAAATACTCACGAGAAATTTATAAAATATGACTAACTACAGCTAAAATATATTTTATTGTTGATGGTTGATAACTTTCCAAACAAATTACTGTGCAACACTGAAAACTTACCTTTTCGAATAAACTCCTGCAAATATTAACATACAATGAGTACGTGAAATAGTTTTTTAATATTGTCAAACGTTCCTCTACATTCTCAGTTCTCTCCGTATTGTCGATGGCCGACTTGAATAAATTCATGAACCAAACCAGAGAATACTGATACATCGGATCAATATTTGCCAGATCGGCTAGAAAATGGCATCGTACGATTAAAGTGTGCGTAATATCTAATGTGATTTAATTAATTACTTGTACTGAAGAATAAAATAGTCGAATGCACTGCGATAGGAATATATCCAAGTCTAGCTTTATCAATCATCTTTTCAGTTTCTTCAGCAACCGCTTGCTTAGAAGAGATTTCGTTGGACAACACCTTCGAAGAACTTAGAATTTGCACAGCGGTTTCATCTTCCAAAATATTGCCTTGAGACGAACTCAAAACTTCTAAAATTTTATCTTCGATTTCTTTGAGCATTCTACAAACCAACAAATCACATATTGTATTAGAGGACATGAATTTATTGCACTTTTAGTAATGATCAGCGCAAACAACCACGAGCTTTTTTGTAAAACTACAGCCCGATTTTTCTTACCGTTTATTTTCTGCTCCTTGAAGGATCAATTGATTCTTTTCTGCTTCTAAATCGGGCCTCTCTTTCGCCACTGTTACTGCTAATAACTGATCTTCCAAACCTACTGAGGTGATCATAAAATTTACCAAAGTAACTTTAACTGCCACCTCGGGTAAATAATGAGGGTTTCTAAGCTTTGTAGTTATGTATAATCTAAAAATTTTTGTTTTTATTTCCAGTTAAGAAGTATTAGTAGATTAAGTAGTACTTAAAATCAGGGTTGTATTCTATAACGGAGTCACCAAGCTTTAAACACCAAGCCCCTCCGTGTTTAAATATTGTCCTTGATAAAACTGGCTCCAATATTGGATCCAATTCTTCCAATACATTCTCTAAAAGAACCTACAAAAAAATATACGAGTCATATCGACAGTCAGTAGCAGCTTGTAGTAGTAGGAATAGAGTTAATTAGATAAACTTACTGGTTGACCAAACTGAATGGCATTTTCTAAAACTCGAAGATAGTCAGGTTGGGCAAGCCTTATCGTCGCTAAGCTATTAGCTTTTTCCATATTTTTCACCCATTTATTTGCCTGACCTTGAGGATCTATCATCAGGGGCCAACGGCGAGTATTCCTAAATTTAGGAAACGTACATTGCTTTTGTTATTAAATTATATACAAAAATTTAACAAACACAAGGAGAGGCTGAAAGGTTCTTCGCGCTTGGTCTGTAAACTGTTAATTGAGCCGATACCTCCCTGTTACTACACTGAAAAATTGAACGAGATGCATTAGCATGTCTGGCCAATTGATGTCCTTGACGTAGACATAACCAATACTGAAGCAAACTTAACTTGAAGGAATTCAATTACTCTAAAGTACAGATTTGGCCATTAGCAATTTTTTCTTGTTTAGTAATTCCAGAAAACCTGCGGTGAAAAACGTTTGACACCGATGAAGGCATCAAGACGTTGGTAGATGAACATTTTGAATGTAAACATAAACAACATATTTTATAAAGCTTTGTAGAACAAGCGCACAACACATTTTTTAACTGATTAATAAAAACTATGTTTTTCAAATTTTAATCGAGGACGTTTCAGCCTACCTTCGTATTTTGTGAAAATTAAAACATAAAGTAAGAATATTAAGCGAACTAGAATTGTATTCTCTGCTACAACCCGAAATGTCCAATGTTTCAATCAAAAAACATTATTTTAATTGACAACAAATTGCTTTGGAACGATAAAATAACAGAATTGAACAAAAAACTGACTGTTAGGTACATTTTTTGGGGTATATTATTATGTTAACACTAAACAGAGGTCCATATCGGATTCCAATTTGTTTTGTAAACAATTCCAACTTACGCAACAATTATACCATTATCTATACTGTAGAGATCGCTGGGTAAGCCAAAAATATTCCATTGTCTAATGATTACTGCCTCACCCAGAACAGCAGTTAACTGGAAGTCTTTTGTACATGTAATACCATACTTAATTAGTTTTCCTATCCAAATTTCAATTTGTTTTTGCCTAAATGGTAAAGTGAATGGTCCCAAATAGGCAACAACGGCGGAACTAATGAGCACATCACCTGTAACAGGATTTTCTCATTATCGTCTTAATATCTTAAGCATCCGATCTATTAGAAACTTGTAATAGAGCAACATCCCGGAGCCGCCAGGCATCAGTTATTTTCTGGGTAACAAAATGGGTGGGATAGGGTAGTGTTAGTATGTATTTTGATCGTATGCACACCTGCTAACTTGGGCCGACGGATAAATTGGTGATATTGGATGCTAAAAGTACGTAAAAACTACTCGCTTTTCTTAAAAGTCTTATTTTTATTTAATGTTTCACAGAATATTATTGATAATTAATAAACACTGCCAGACACTTTCCAAGTTCACAAAAAAAATCGTAATTTTACTTATAGACTGAGTCTTCATTTTTAAATATGATACATAGGGAACTATTCAATACTTTTTGTTGTAGGACCCAAAGGCCGTTTAATTATCGCGATTGTGCTTATACACAAAGCGACATTTTAAGTGTATTTGGAGGAAGTTTGGCTGCTACAATTGGTCTGTCTGTCTGTTACAAAAAGTATTGAAATAGTTTCCAACAAAATTTTTCAGTCTCTATCCAGTCTCTCAGATTCTTTCAGAGCTTTTTAGCGTCTCTAAGATCGTCTCTCACAGTCTTTCACAGTATCTCAGTTATTGCCTAGGTGTTTTTATGGATCTCTCACAGTCTCTGTATGAGAGACTCGAACGATAAAATTGTTAATTCAGAGATTCGAGTCTCTCGTTCAGGGACTGGATAAGAAATAAGGATCTCATTATGAGCGACTCGAGTCTCTCGTTCAGAGACGCTAAACAGTTTTTGAAGTGAAAACTTCTTTAGGGACGTTGGGCACTTTTTGGCAAGGGAAAATGTTATGCGTCCGCGTCACCGACATGCTTGTAGCAGTATATCTGTAGCTATATAGCTACGACGATCGATGCGGTTTTTACGCGATACTTAGATAAATTTCAATCAAACGTTTTCATTTTTTACTTTAGTTACCATAAGCCTATTGTATCTTTTTTAGAACATAATGAAATAATTGACAGTTAAATGTTAAAAATCAAGTACATTGAAATTTATGTAAATATTTGAATAATAAAAAACCATATAAACATGCATATAATTGTTCCTCGGAGTGTCAATAGATGTGAAAACCAGATTGATGTTGATAATTTTTATTCAAACATTGTGAAATTTCAAATTTTAATACTAAAAGTTCTAAGTTTTCACTTCTATCGGCAGTCCCTATAACTNTAGTTACCATAAGCCTATTGTATTTTTTTTTAGAACACAACGAAATAATTGAAAGTACAAAAAGTCTAAGAATTGTTGAAATTAATGATGACAATGATGCAAACAATGTTAAAAATCAAGTACATTGAAATTTATGTAAATATTTGAATAATAAAAAACCATATAAACATGCATATAATTGTTCCTCGGAGTGTCAATAGATGTGAAAACCAGATTGATGTTGCTAATTTTTATTCAAACATTGTGAAATTTCAAATTTTAATACTAAAAGTTCTAAGTTTTCACTTCTATCAACAGTCCCCATAACTGCCAATTTTTTTTTTGACAGTCTTTCTCAGCGACACCAGAGAGACTGGATGAGAGACGTAGACTCGAGTCTCGCTTTCAGAGACTCTGAGAGACTGAACATTTTTATCTCGGGATATTATTTTTAAAAATGAAGATTCAGACTATAAATAAAATTACGATTGCTTTTGCGAACTTTGAAGAGTCTGGCAAAATTTACCGCCGACGGACAGTGCTTGACAGTGTTGATCAATATTCTGTGAAACTTTTGTAAAAATTAGCACTTATACAAGCGAATACAAGAGATTACGTATGTTTAGCACCTAATATCTGCAAACGGACGGTCGGACCAAGTTAACAGATATGTATACGTTGAAAGTACCTGCTAATATCACTCTATCCCATCTATCCTGTTACTCCTAATATCTGGCGGCTCTGTAATCAAGGACTATAGTGCTTCTAACCTATGTATCTTTATTTCATCATATTGTAGTTGGTTATGATTCTCTATAAGTGTTCTATTTTATCGCTTTACTTATTGTACCCACCAGTGATAATGAAATATTGTATGCCAAGTTGCTTTGCCGTTGCTAACCATCTTGCGCCTTCGCTTCCCAGTCCACCAATTAACGTTTGAGCCCTATCGAGCTTCTTTTGGCACATGTCCACTTCATCGTTAAGTGCTTGTAGTTTCGTTTTTTCAATTTCGAGCGCAGCTTCTAACGCAGCCAATTTTTCTCTTGTTAATCGAAGAATTTCTCTTTTCTCTTCGAGTGCAGTCATGGCAGTTCGAAACACTGCTTCTGCAGCTGCCAAAGCTAATTTTTTGGGGGCCACTACCTTCGCTACCCTGTCGTATTTTGAAATAGCGATTACCCATTTACACAGACCTGGGAAATAGGTACATTTTCAACTATTTTCCGGTAGCAAAGTGAAAACGTTTCAACAAAATATTAAAATTGTGGTAGGCTTTTTCTAATTCTGCAATTTAAATGGTAACCATTGTTACATAATATCCATACATTCTTATTTAGGCCACTAATACAAAGCTGGCATATATAAATTATTTATTTAGAACTGCAAGCTAACATCTACATTCATATTGGGTCAGTTATCGACTGTTTAAATAGCGGAAAATACGAGTCGAATATGATTACGAAGATGCAAATAATGCAGGGTGGTGAAACAGCTTGCCGTTTTCACTCACCTTGCGATGGTTCCCTGCCATTTTCTATATTTCCTAATTATTTATTACTTATATATAATTATTATTTGACTAAATAAATTGTTTTCATCTATTTGCTAACATGAAAATGTTAAACAAATTGTCGCCATAAAAACGTAAATAAAAGAAGCCACACTATTATTTATTCGTATAAAATAGAAAGACAAAAATGAAAACCTTCTGCAGCAGTCGACGCTACTTTGATTTTGTCAGGATCAAAGTTTTCGTCATTTAGAATCCTTTTTTTGAGCATATCCATAATTTGTGGAGGGATATTATCCTTATCATAATTTATTAAACTATCCAAAAAGTGCATATCCCCAAGGACTTTTTTACTAGGACCCCAGTAATCTTCAACTGTGCCTATTCCACTGGGAGCAGGAACCTTATCCGGTTTTACTCCCTTAAAAGATTTGTTAACGTTGAATAGCAAAGTTAAGGTTTGCTTAAACAGATGCAACAGTAATTTTAATTTTCCTTCTTACTTTTAATATACATATAGCCTCCATGACTAATCGGACACCTTTTGGAGGACTCTTCATGGTTTTTACGATTGTGATATCTGCAGGTGTTAGGGTATTCAGAGCTGCTAATGCTGCTTCCAAAATCGGCATGGCCTCCGCTAAATCGGCGTCACATTCGTCTTTAATTGCCTGGGCTGCTTTTGCCTATTACTCAAAAAATTAGAAACGTTTTCTTAAATAGTAAAATTAACTCATAACCACCTGTTCATTGGCAGCTTCCTCATCAACCATCACTAGTTTTTCCACTTCTGCGACGTCTAACGATTCCTTTTCGACCTTTTTCATCGTAACTGCGACCTTTTCTCTGGCAACAACCAATTGTGGTTGAAGGGCCTCCAAACTTTTTTGCATAATAGCCACTTGTGATCCAGCGAATTCTAATTTTTCTAGTCCAACTTCGTACCTTTCTTTGGCCATTAATACCGCTCTAATTAATGTATTTATGACGAAATAAGTAGTAATAAAAATCGATTTAATCAAAGGGACTTTTTAGAAAAGTATTTATGGTGTACCTGGTAGGAAAGGGTATCTCTTTCAATTTTTGTCAAAGCCATAATGCATATGTAACTTGGACTAGCAGAAAGTAAGACATCTTAAGTCATTAATTAAGTATTTCAACTTTTGCTTGTTTTTTTAGGTAAACATTGAATTTAAAAATTTACTTCAGAAAGTTCTAAATAAATTAATGTGTACAGCACACCCCACCTACGTTATTTTGTGAATAGATACTGTCAAATACAAATATAGCTCTATTACTGTAAATAAATGTTTACCTTCGTTTTTTCCCCAAAAATTCTTTAAACGTGTTGATTAATTCCAAATAGGAGGTTGGAGTGACATAATTGTGTCTTCCAAGTCTAGCAAAGAATTCGTCGGATAAAGTTTGTGTACTAGTGTGGAACAGTTGACACATATCTATGCAGACGTCCTTCTCCTTCTCAGTGAGTTCTATTTCTCCTAAGAACTTCGTAGCTACGGCCAAAAGAGCATCTTCGGGCCAAGCCTAACATGTAATTGAAACGGTTGGTAAATAAAGTGAAAAAGGTTAACGTAATTAGTGCGTAAAACCTGAAACCAGTCAATTGTACAACAATTAACTATCGCCGGAAACTTCCTTATCCTAATCCTGAATCCATCGCCAATGGGGCTCATTGCAAGGACGACATGCAATTGTTCGCGCACAATTTGTATGAATAAATTGAAAAGGGCAGCAGGACTTCCGTCAGTTTGCATTGATTTTTCTCTCTGTCGATCAAATTGACGCATTTTCTCGCAAATTTCCACTTTCTCTTCGGGTGTAAATATGTTAGGTACTTCACCGGAATTCAATAAATTGCTTATATCCTCTAAGAAGGACTCTTCTTTTATCTTTAGAAAACATAAATCGAATTGTTTATTTATGTATGGGATGTATGCATTGAAATTGAACCTGAGTGTCAGTAAATAGGAATACAGCATGCTGATCGCTCGAACTGGTCCTTCGTAAAATTAATTTTATGTCTTCGTGCCACTCGTTCATGCCATACAATCGAGTAATTTCCACCTGCGCCACATCGTATTCTGATATATGAGCAGCCAGTCTGGTAAGGGATTGTCTTCCGGACCCACCTACACCTACTAACAAGCAATGGCTTCTGGGTTGTTTTATTACACGACATATTCGAGACAAATGTTCGATTGCAAACCTGAAATATCCATAAATAATTAACCATCTAAATTTAAACCTAATTAACTTTTTTTTACCTGAAAAGAACTAGATTCATTGGCTTCTTTGATATACTGTTGTACTCTGCAAGGTAATTCTCAACAACGTTTCGTAAGAATACTAAATCCGTTACCTCTGCATAATACCGTTGATCTGCCTTCGGATTAGCGAAATCGCAATAAATTAGCTTTCTTAATTCTGCTTCTCCAATCTTGAATATTGAAACATTTTTCGTTTAAAAAATTATATTACGTTTCTCTTTAGAAAATGGACGATTACAGTGAAATAAGTCATTGATTATCTCACATCAAATAGATCTAATTGTAAATTTCTTGATGTGCAAATCGATAATGAATTGAATGTAAATAATGGGACGCCAAAGAACAGATCCGAAAGATGAAGATTGAAGACTACTCACTTACATAAACTCTCGTCCAATGCCTTGAAATAATTGGACAATTGAACCGAAGAAGTAAATCATATCAACACAACAATTGGAAAAAGGACAAGAATCAAGTCAAAGTTCATCTGTTGAACATTAGCGTCTTATTGTTGACATTCAATTTATTTTATTAATGAGAATTTTAAGAAACCAATGAGTTATTAGACTTTGAAATTGCCCCCTGTAATCTTCACTTAAATTTTAAAATTTCGATTCTTCGATTGATTAACCCTTCCCATTGAATTTTTTGGTGCTTTGCAACACCAATGCTTAATTAAAAGACCTATTTCTCTTTTGTGATATGGAACCATAAGAAGAAAAAGTTTTCAATAAAATACCGACGTACACTCCTTCCAACAGCAGTTGCAAGCCTCTCCAATAGTTTATTCATATCTGCTGTCAACTTATATTCACAAACGTAATGAAGTGTTTCTATCAACCAAAGTCGATCCGCATCATCGACCAATCTATCATAATATACACGCAACACTTCGTGAATCCATAATCTTTTTATTGAATTAGTATTTTCCATTGCGATCGGAAGTGACAATAATACTCCCTGTAAAGGGTTATTTATTTGTAATTGCTAACATCAATATGTATTAGGAATTCATTGATAACATAATGAAACTTTATTGGTTTGTACGCATTCAGTATTATCAAAGTGGTTCCTCATGGATCCGAACATTGGAGTTTCAATTACTTTTAGTTTACTTTGTAAATTACCCCAATAGAAACTGCACATTATATTGGAAGATATTCAAATATCTTTTGGGACTATAGTTTTTGAACTTACTTGGATAACACGGGAAAAATCTCTCAAATTGAACAAATAGTGTGATTTAGAAGGTGTGGGTAGCAGATTTTGTCTACTCAATTTGTAAACCTCCAAGGTAGAAAGAACCACTTCTTCTACCACTGGTTCAAAACTCTTCGAGAATCCCCTGAAATAACGATATTAGAACATTATAATCACTGTATTCGCCCGTAATAGGTACCTGACGTCCAAATGCCAATACATTATTTTGCTGAAAATATTTATCATAATGTCATCACTGAATTCGTCTATGCACAAATGATTAAAATGTCTGGAGAACCTCGGGGTAACAGTTTTACCACCACCTATCGGCGGATTCATGGCACACATGAACTAAAAATACACAAAATACTTTGACATTTTTTTTTAGAAGTGGTTAATTTTTAATATGGAAAAGTAATATGAAAATTCATTTGTCGAATTTTTTACTCACACTACAAACTACTTCAGGTTAATGAGGGAAAATTGTTGCTGTTGTCGCACCCTCGCCGAGAATCGAATCATTGGCTTTACACACCAATGGTCTGACCACTAAGTTTCGAGTGATGACCTGCGATGAGAAAGGAGGTCCGAGGTTCGATTCCCGGTGAGGGTGTGACAACAGCAACAATTTTTCCTCAATAACCTGAGGTGGTTTGTAGTGGGCAAAAAATTCGACAAATTAATTTTCATATTAAAAATACACGTTTGAAAAATTTTGTAGCACCTTATTAAAAGATGTAGTTCTCTCAAAAGTAACTTAATTAAGGTCCTTTTTTTTTCTTTGACTATTAGGATTGGAAGGGTTAATTCCTGACTTTTGCCGATTATTAATTTACCTGTATATCAATTAATTTCATTGGTACAATATCTTTCAAATCATACCACATAAAGTGATCAAACCACTGACGTAATATTTCGATAGGTGGCTGAGCTCCGTACACCTCTTTTTGTGGCATACTGACATCGTCTACAAAAATAACGCACTTTTTTCCAATTGGAGGACCAAAAACACCTAAAATTGTTTCCTATAGTTTTAACCGAGCGGCTCATTTTAATAGGCACCAATTTACCCTTTCGTCTTTTATCTAATTTTCCCATAATGATACTCTGCGTTTGATTCGCAGACGTTTGTGCAGAAAAATTTATAAAAAGGGGTATAAACGTTTTCTTCTCAATTCTTTTCAGAAGAAACTCCTGAAAAGTTCTCGCGTTATTTTTCATGAATAATTTAGTGCAATTGTATATTTATACCGTTACGTAAACTGATTTTCCAGTTCCTGTTGGACCTACTACCATGACAGCTTTCTTGTGAGTCACCAATAGTTTCATTATAGCAATATTTCGTATAGTTTCAACCGTCGTAACCATTATTTGATTGACTGGAATATCTCGTGGAATAGGAGGCGCGGTTTCTAGTTCAGACGACCAATATTTCCAAATTCCTTTGCCCTAATAATAATTCCATTCATGTGGATATTTTAAGAGACAGTATTTCGTCAAATATACAGTTGAAAGGTTACATTGTTTAGAGAAGAAAAAGAAATACCTCTTTTATGTAATAATAGTCAAACACAGAATCAGCTACTGGCAAAACAAACATGTACGGCTTCTCTGCTTTCGGAATTTCAAAAGGTATTCCCGTTGCTTCGTACAGAGGTTTAGGAAATTCACGATCAAGTAGACCTCTGAATACCACGTTGAATTTTAGACGACTTGCAGAATCAATTGTGGCTCCCAAAGCCCAAATACAAGAAAAGAAAAAGGTCCCTTCGAGCTGTGCCCGAGCGTCCAAGTCTGACAATTGTTCCACATATTCCTCATTATAAAAATCGTCCATAAAACAGTCGAATAAATTCATTACACCTTTCACCAAGTTAGTGTCTGAAGTAGGAGAAAGTTCCTAGAAAGATGTCTAAGTGAGTTGTGGGATTTGATTAAATCTCAGGATAAGGAAAACATGATGATACTAAATAAAACGTTTTGTTAATTTGTTAAGACTTTCTCAGGTACTCATAAATTATTGTTCAGAGTGTCCACTTAATTGGGTTAATTTCTAAGGTTTTGCCTCTGAATTCACAGAACATTTGCCGAAAAATTGATCCGTTTGGAACTGATAAACCCTATAATTCCAACAACTTCGAGTAGCGGAAGCTTCTCCATGCGTGTAGGGTAAAATCAAACAAATTCATAGATATTTACCCGTAAACCCCCTTTTCGGACAAGCCACAGAAGAGGTGTACAAATACGTAGATACATCTGTTGCACTATATTCTTGTGAAAATCTTCCAGCAATGGCGGTAGTGTTGCCAACCAGGATTCTAAAAGAGGTTCCCACCCTAGAGCTGCAGGTTCCATATAAATCATACCACACCTCGAGACCTAAATTAAGCAAATATTAAATACATATAGTAAAAACAGAAAGGATTTTGATAATTACTGTTGCAGGAGAAGCCACATCAAGATCCATTGGTTCAAAAATGAGATTAGTTGTGTTAGATAGTTGTATAATCTCTCCAGACATTAAACACAATTTTTTGTTATCGTCCAATACGGTATTCATGTTTTCAATCCAGACTGCATCAACTGGACCGTCGAAAATTAGCCATTTTCTAATGGTAACAATATTGTTTTATAGAAATTATTCAACGAGGAGAATAAGTCAAGGAACACGGTCATGGGCCAATAAAAATTGTGAAAAGTTTAATACCTATCTTCTGTAGTTGACATGGCAAATTGTCGAAAACTAACAGCTAAAACACCATCCGACCACTCGTGGGATACGGGATCAAATTGCCCATACAGCTGACCCATTGTTATTGACTTTGGATTCATGACAGTGTAAACAGCTCTATGTTCGTCCATTCCTCCCTTTAAAGAAGCTTTCGTAAATAAATAATTAAGAACGAATATCACAAAATTACTCTTTCTTCTATTAACCCAAGAGCATCTGCCAGAGTGCGATAGTTACTAGTTTTTCCAGCAAAAGGAAAACCAACGATCATAAGACCATGTCTTACGACAATCATTTCGTACAACTGTTGCACTTTTTCAAGAAAGAACGGTGTACATTGAAGATTGCGGGTTTTACAACTATCTTCAACTGCTTTATTAAAAATATCGTAGTCGGGAGGAGGTAGCACGACACCGGGGAACAAATCGGATGTTATGCCCTGCATAAAGTTAATAAAGAAAATGACAGAATGAAAGTAAAATGTTGAAATTCTTAAACAGAAGTTTTTCCGAGGAAAACGCTGCTCTTGTAGAAGTTAATTACCTGAAACAAAGGAACATCAGGCTCCAGAAACTTCGCCAAATTAACGTCCTTGATGGATCTCAAAACCAGTATGTCTTCTTGTTCATCCGGATATCTTAATTTTAACTGAGCAGCAGCTCTTAAAACTGATTTCACTGCCCTCATTCCTACAATGCAATCACCGATCATATTGCGTGGTTTACCGAAATTGTATAATAATTAAAATATACCATAATCGTAATGGTGTTGGGATGATAGTTGTTCCGAACACAACCTATAGGTAGCAACAATTTTCACTGATAGAGGTTTGGCTTCTAGGAAACCGCAAGAATATAACTCAATTTCTGATATGAGGGCATAGTCTGGTACCATCATTGCCACGGAGCGGAAAAGCGCCTGGAAAGGAAAGCGTGAATTTGTGTCCAACTTAATTTACAATTCGAACAACTTTTAGATTATCCGGTAACTCTGATCTACCGGCATATCCGGGATTCATAGTAATGAAGACGGCGCAGGTTGGATCCAGTTTCAGATGAGTACCTTCAAACAACAAGTCTTCAACGCCTGCATTGACAGCTCTTTGAATCGTTAAAATTTGTTGAGCAACGACAGAAAGCACTTCCAAGTCGATTCTGTTAAATTCGTCAAAACACGACCAAGCCCCGCAAGAAGCTAAACCCTAAATAACACAAAAGTATTTCATCTTTCTGAGCATCTAGATAAATTATATTGATCTCGTGGCCCAAATAAAGAAGATTTTATTTTGGCTCGATTTCCCTTCTAATTGATTCTTTTTACATTCGTCCCTTGTTCTACGTATTTCATTGATCCGCCCGGGGTTTCCTGCAAATTACCTTCTACTGTGCGAGCTCGATCACAGAACACAACAAATTGTCCATAATATACAATATGTCACCAATAGTGGTCAATAAGACCCTGCACTGTAAATTGATATTCCATACAGTCCATTCAAATATATGTACAACCCTTCGATTACGTATTACCTGACCGGGAGGGGGGGGGAGTGAACTAATCAATTTTATTTCCTCCACAGTACGCATTCACAAGATAAACCTAATTTAATTGACTTTGAAATGTACAATGTGATGATATACATTCCTTCTTTAATGATACCAGCAAATACCTATTTGTCCTTATCAGTAATTTTATATTAATTGTCGTACCTTGAAGAATTTTCCCAGAGCTATGTAATCCAACCCATCAGAACAGTTAAAAACAACGCATTGTTTGGCGACCGCTTTCGCAAGATCTTTTGTGGTTTCAGTCTTCCCTGTTCCTGCCGGACCCTCTGGAGCTCCTCCTTAATTGTCAATAAGACATTAAATTTGGAAATTTATTATCACTTTTATACAATATGTAAATAGTTACCCAAATGTAGGTGCAAAGCACCAAAGAGTGTCCGATAACATCTATCTGTTAAGGGCGTTATCACCAATCTTGTTGTGTTTCCAAGGTATTCGTACCCGTACATTAATGTTGAATTAATCATTCGGGTTGCTAGTTGTTTATTCTAAGAAATTATTCGATTTATACGACAGGTTTACTAAAAATAGTTTTATACATTTGTCTTACTTCCCAATAGTATCTCAGATTAGATAACCATTGAAAGTCATCAACACTTCTCACTTCAGTATCTATTATTTCTCCCAACACGTCTCTTGCGTGGACATCCAAGACAATTAAAGCACCTGAAGATTAAGATATTACAATTGATTCATTAAATATATTTCATTTAATTTCCGTGCCTTTCCCTTATTTTATGATAATAATGTTGGAATCAAAGCCAGTGTGAAGGCAATAGATTCTTTTTGGTTCGGTTTTAAAAGTTGCATGTTTCGCGTGGTTTTAAATATTTATTTAAATTACGATTATATTTGTTGTACAAACTAATATGTTTGCCTGTTTTGTAATAATTATAGAATCTTGTTTCATTATCACATTCGACACCATCTGCAGAAAAAATCATTGACATTAAAACCTTGATAAAGATATGCACTTATAGGTACGCGAAATGTCGCGTTGACTTAATAAATAAACTGACTCTTGTCTGGCTTGGATTCTAACATTATCTTCCTTTATTTTAGATTGCTCACCTAAGGTTATACGATTTTGTAAATTCAATTTTCCTCTTACCAAATCCACTATTTTCGATATTTGGAAATTACAGGTTTCAAGGTATTTTTTCATTGCAATCATGCTTATTAGAATGGCTCCATGTACTTCAGCCGTCCAGTACATCATTGCTATACATTGGATCTAAATACAAAGAAATTTCCCAGAAAAAGTAAGTAAAAGGGTTAATTTTATATTTGATTTGATGTTTTCCCGTAGGAAAAAATTCCATTCTATTTCCATTAAAAAAATGCCATTTAATGACCACTAAAATAATTAATGGTGATAAATTGCCAATGGGATGAATGGAATTTCCACTAGAATTCTAGTGGAGATCCCACTCCCGAACTCAGTGCGTTCCATTGGAACTTCCATTCCTTAATCCAATGAAAATCCTAGTGTCAATTATTTATTTTTTACCTTTAATTATTGTTATTGTTAACTAAATAACATTCTTTTTAATCAATATGGAATATTAGGTTTTTCGACGAAAAAAAAATATGAATTACATGACAATGATTATTCCAAATAATGTCTTGTTTATTTTTTTTACAACTTCAGTACGTTTTTCTTCATTTTTTTTAATATGTTTTAATCATCTCAAACCAGATCTTCTCCATTTTTAGGTACCCAATTGTTTTTCCATTTATATTTAATGGTTTTAAATAGAATTTATAAATTTTGCATTGGTTCCCATTGAAAATCAATGGAAATTTCTCCTATGTAAATATTAATGGAAACAATTATTTTTCCATTTATGCCAAATGGTTTTGAATGGAATTTTCAAATTTTCCATTGATTCCCATTGAATTTAATGGAAAATTTTCCTACGATTAATTTTGGTTCGTACCGTTTGACCAGGCCATACGAGGACCCAGACATCACGAGGTTTCTTAGTATAATCGGCAATTGCCATGGCAACCATTTTGTGAACAGACTTCTTCATATCTATTTCCAATTCTACCAGCCATTTTTCAACTTGTCCTCTTGCCAATGCAGTTTGAATGACATCCACAAGTGGTACAATCTCTCCTTCAGATGATTTCATATGTGTTACATCCATATCAGCTGTAAATGTTAGTTTAGCTATCCCTTCGAAGCATTTCTTCAAATGAGGCTGGACTCTACAAACAACGAAACATTTTTTAAACAAAGAAAGAAATGGTAGGAGTTGAAATAATTTTTGCATTGAAATAAAATAGTTACGGGAATTACTACTTTCCGCTGGTATTTATTGAATTTTTCTTATACTTTCCTTTACTCTGTGCACTGCAAATTACCTTGTGGGGTCCTTGGTTTCGGATAGAATTTCTAATAGTTCGTCATTTGACAAGAAGAAGAACCGAGGGAAGTATAGTCGTTTTACTTCCAAGTAATTGTTTAAACCACGCTGCACTGCGTCGAGCAAGCCATTACATTTGACTAATCTTTCAACCATTTTGTCTATTTCCACAACCACCAAAACTTTTGGTTCAGTGTAAACGGTTTTCATTAATTCTCTCCAAATCTAGAGCAAATGGTGTCGAGAATAAGTGTCAACTATTACGTTTCTGATGGGATTCATAAAATATGTATGTATATGTTTAGTACTATGTTCGTGCAATGTTCCTAAATATTACCTTATCCATGGCAGTAAATTTTCGACCCTCTTCTGGCATTTGCTGTTGAATATCTGGTGAAGAGAAAATTGGCTCCAAATACATCCACGTGCTCTGAACTTTTAACCACTCGTCGATAATTACCTGAAGTAAATGCAGCCTGCGTTCCCAGTCTCTACAAAGCAAATATTTGAAACTCATTTATATATTAGTTACATTATTATCTTACAAAATTTCAGCTTCAAATGGTTTGATGTACGGGGAATTCTTCATCGTTTGCGCCTTAATTATATGATCATCTAGTTGCACTTGGATGTCGTCAATTGCAGATATAACGTAAGTGCCAGTATCTCTAGTTAAATTAAATTGTTTATCAAATTTATCAAAATACTTATAAGTTGAATGCTTACTTGTATTCCAAAGCTGTGAATGCTACATCTTCCCATTCTGCTTTCATTTTTTTAATATTCTTTTCGAGATTGTTTTCTTTGGAAGCAGCCTCAGATATTGACTCAAACTTTTCAATGAAATCATGTAAACCGTAATCGATTACTTTAGCTAGTGTTAGTTCCTCATCAGGTACTATAGGGAAGCCTACAATTTCAGAAATCATTTCCCAATGTCTCTCTTTTAATCCAGGATTTCCTAAAGTGTGAATAATCGGCAGATTTTCCTTAAAATCTTCAATTTCTTCTCGGACCTGTATAAATTAAATGGTATAATATAAATTATTGGAATATAATATATTTGGTCTTTTCAATGTTTCTATACCGTTCCTGCCAATTCGCATGTTGCGGGCTTGTCAGAGAAACTTTTCTCTAGTTTGTAAACATTTCTGTAATAAGTGGTGACTTCAGTTTCTATTTCATCGGGGTCATACGTTCCCACCTTGGAATTTAACCATTTGTTGCGATTTTCCATGTAATCGACGGCATTATCGTATAACTTTTTAAAAGGAGTTAATTTGTCATGGGTTTTCTTCCTCAATGGGTACTGGGTTTCTTCGAAACCATAAGCTCTTTCTTCTGCATTAAATTCATCTATCAAGACAATGGCATGCACCAATCTAAAATTAATTAATGTTGTTAAGAACCGTGTAAATCGATTCAATATATTCTTTATTTATTTATTTTCAATTAGCTGTTGGCAACCCGCTTCGTTGGGTTTACATTTTCACTTATTCTAAACGGGTTTTTGGTGGACGATTCGCAAATCCAAATAAACAGCAGATTGGAGAAATCTCTAATATTATTGAAAACCACACAGTTTTCAGAACACTGATCGAAATATAAGAAAAATACCCCTAAAATTATCCACCACTGTACATTTTCACTTATACTAAACTAGTGTTTGGTGACCGATGGTCGGATCGCTAACACACTTCAAAATTGACAACTTTTGAACATTATACGAGATTCCAAACATTTTTTAGGACATTGGTAGAAATACATATAAAATATCCTAATACACTGTCAGAACCCATCCCACCATTCACGGATACATCCTCCTCGAATCATTCAGATCAATTCACTTAAACAATCCCAGGCATTTTTTTTTAGAATTCTAGACTGTTGCGCAATCTGTAAATGTTAGTTTAGCTATCCCTTCGAAGCATTTCTTCAAATGAGGCTGGACTCTACAAACAACGAAACATTTTTTAAACAAAGAAAGAAATGGTAGGAGTTGAAATAATTTTTGCATTGAAATAAAATAGTTACGGGAATTACTACTTTCCGCTGGTATTTATTGAATTTTTCTTATACTTTCCTTTACTCTGTGCACTGCAAATTACCTTGTGGGGTCCTTGGTTTCGGATAGAATTTCTAATAGTTCGTCATTTGACAAGAAGAAGAACCGAGGGAAGTATAGTCGTTTTACTTCCAAGTAATTGTTTAAACCACGCTGCACTGCGTCGAGCAAGCCATTACATTTGACTAATCTTTCAACCATTTTGTCTATTTCCACAACCACCAAAACTTTTGGTTCAGTGTAAACGGTTTTCATTAATTCTCTCCAAATCTAGAGCAAATGGTGTCGAGAATAAGTGTCAACTATTACGTTTCTGATGGGATTCATAAAATATGTATGTATATGTTTAGTACTATGTTCGTGCAATGTTCCTAAATATTACCTTATCCATGGCAGTAAATTTTCGACCCTCTTCTGGCATTTGCTGTTGAATATCTGGTGAAGAGAAAATTGGCTCCAAATACATCCACGTGCTCTGAACTTTTAACCACTCGTCGATAATTACCTGAAGTAAATGCAGCCTGCGTTCCCAGTCTCTACAAAGCAAATATTTGAAACTCATTTATATATTAGTTACATTATTATCTTACAAAATTTCAGCTTCAAATGGTTTGATGTACGGGGAATTCTTCATCGTTTGCGCCTTAATTATATGATCATCTAGTTGCACTTGGATGTCGTCAATTGCAGATATAACGTAAGTGCCAGTATCTCTAGTTAAATTAAATTGTTTATCAAATTTATCAAAATACTTATAAGTTGAATGCTTACTTGTATTCCAAAGCTGTGAATGCTACATCTTCCCATTCTGCTTTCATTTTTTTAATATTCTTTTCGAGATTGTTTTCTTTGGAAGCAGCCTCAGATATTGACTCAAACTTTTCAATGAAATCATGTAAACCGTAATCGATTACTTTAGCTAGTGTTAGTTCCTCATCAGGTACTATAGGGAAGCCTACAATTTCAGAAATCATTTCCCAATGTCTCTCTTTTAATCCAGGATTTCCTAAAGTGTGAATAATCGGCAGATTTTCCTTAAAATCTTCAATTTCTTCTCGGACCTGTATAAATTAAATGGTATAATATAAATTATTGGAATATAATATATTTGGTCTTTTCAATGTTTCTATACCGTTCCT